ACACCATTATTTTATTGTGTTTAGGTGAAAGTTTATCTAATTTGAAGTTTGAATAGTAGATTAGATTCCCTTTCAACAATTCATACACAGATTGCTCTGTGACATTGTTTGCAATCTCTGTAATGTACCTGCACTCACCATTTGTACACTGCTTGCCCTATTTCTATTCATCCCATTTTCCTTCCCCTCCTTGCCTCCTCATCTTTGCTTTTGTGTAAATGTTGGCTATTGGATATCCTATAGTTGTTTAAAGGAGCATATTCCTCATGGGCGTTAACTGTTTATTTTGAACGCAATCTATTATTTGGCTGAAAGATGACTTCCAGGAGTGGCTTCAGTTCAAGTTAAAAAGGAATTTTAGGGCAATAGTCCCAGGGATTCTTCTAGTCTTTATCAGTTAAGTAAGTCTGTTTTTTTTATGAATTCTACATTTTTCTCCCGTTCTAACTTGTACCTTTTATTGTGTCATTAGTCAGATGGTTAGTAGTAGTACCCAGGCACCATCTAGTTCTTGTAGTCTCAGACTGTTCATGTGGCCATTAGTCCAGTGGACTGATTCCTTCCTTGAGTCTTTGGTTTCCTTCACTCTCCTTTGTACCAGCTAGGAAGAGACCAATAGTTATGTCTTAGATGGCCAGTCACATGCTTCTAAAGCCCTAGACTTGATTCACCAAACTAGGATGTGACACACTATCTTTTTGAACTAAGCTATGCCAGCCAATTGTCTAGTTGTCCCATGGGACTGTAGTCCTGATCCTTCCCAGTAACTCAATCCCAGAGGATGTTTGGGTATATCTAGGCAGTATCCATAACTGCATCTCCTGTATGCTTTATTATATATGTGAATATATACGCAGTACATACAAACATGTATATACATATGCTCACAAATATATATGCATGCACATGTATTCCCATACACCTTCCCATCCTCATAAAGTATGTGTATATATCTATATAAGCAGCATATTTTTTGCTTTTTATTACTGTTGCTGCAAATTGTATATGTTAATAGCACTTACCTTACTTGACCTTTATTCTTGTATACCTCTCAGTGTCTTCATTTACCTTGGTCAAGTTGCTCAGTACTTCCCCCATATTTTGTGTCACCTTTCCCATCACCAGAATTAACATGTGTCTTCTATCTCATTAGTGATTCCTCCTCCTTCCCCCTCCCACCCCTGGTAATTATCAAAGAACATTGCTTTCTGTATATATACCTATTCTTTTTATAAAAGTAGTATCATGCAATATTTGTTTTTCTGTATTTGGCATTTCACTCAGCATTACATCCTCCAAATTCATCCATGCTGTGTTTCACAGACTCCTCATTATTATTTATCATTGCATTCTATTCCATTATATATGTGTACCACAATGTGTTTATCCATTCATCTGTTGATGGGCACTTAGCTTATTTCCATCTTTTTGCTGTTGTGAATATTGCTGCAGTGAACATGGGTGTGCATATGTCTATTTGTGTCACTGCTTTTCTATATGTAGGATGTATTCCTATGAGTAGGATTGCTAAAGCTTTCTGAGGAAGTACCACACTGTTTTCAGTAGTGGTTGTACCATTTTACAATTCCTCTAGCAGTGTATAAGAGTTCCAATCTCCCTGCAGCCTTGCCACCATTTGTTTTGTGGGTTTTTTTGTTTGTTTTTGTTTTTGATCATTGCCATTTTGCAGGAGTAAAATGCTATTTCATTGTAGTTTTAACTTTTATCTCCCTAATGGCTAATGATCATGAGTATTGCTTCACATGTTTGTTAGCCACCTGAATATTCTCTTCAGTGAAGTATCTATTTGTGCCCTTTGCCCATTTTTTGATGGGATTGTTTGTCTTTTTTATTGTGGAATTATTGAAGTTTTCCATATATTTAGAAATTAGATTTTTGTCAGATATGTCCTTTCCAAAAATTTTTTTCCAGTCTGTAGGTTCTTTTATACTTTAGCAAAGTCTTTTGATGGGCATCGGCATTTAATTTTTAGAAGGTCCTAATTTATCTTCTATTGCTCATGCATTCATGTTTGATAGTCTGTTGATGCCAAAAATTAGGACCTCTAACTTTGTGATGCCCATTTTAAAGAAAGGTGATCAAATAGAAAGTGAAAATTATCAAACATTATTATTATTACATGCTAGCAAAATTGGGCTGAAAATATTTTTTAAAGGACTGCAGCTGTATATAGACAGGGAACTGCCAGAAGTTCAAGCCAGATTCAGAAGAGCATGTGCAACAAGGGATATCATTGCTAATTTCAAATGGATCTTGGCCAAAAGAAGGGAATATCAGAGAGATGTTACCTGTGTTTTATTGAGTGTAGAAAGGCATTTGACTGCATGGATCACAACAAATTACAGATAATATTACAAAGAATGGGAATTCCAGAACACTTAATTGTACTCATGCAAAACCAGTACATGGGTCAAAAGGCAGTCTTTAAGCAAAGCAGGGGAACACTGCATGGTTTAAAATGGAAAAGGTGTGTGGCAGGGTTGTTCTTTCACCTTACTTAGTCTGTATGCTAAACAAGTGAATTGTGAAACTAGACTATATGAAGACGAACACAGTATCAGGATTGGAGGAAGATTTATTAACAGCCTGGGATACACAGATGACACAATCTTGCTTGGCAGAAATGAAGACAACTTAGAGCAAAAGATGAAGGCAAAAGATGAAAGCCTTTAGTGTGGATTACGTCTGAAGAAAACAAAACTGCTCACAATTAGACTGATAAACAACATCATGATAAATATAAAAGAAATCGAAGTTGCCAACACTTTTCATTCTATTTAGATCAGTAATCATCCATGGAAGTAGCAATCAAGAAATCAGTGATATATTGCATTGGGCAGATGTGCTTTAAAAGATCTTTTTAAAGTTTTAAAAGTAAATTGTCACTTTGATGACTAATGTACACTTGACCCAAGCCATAATCTTTTCATTCACCTCATACGCATGTGAAAGCTATATAATGAAAAAGGAAGAAAGAAGAATTGATGCATTCAAATTGTGGTGTTGGCATAGAATATTGAATATTCTGTGGAATGCTATAAAAAAACTAACCAGTCTTTGAAGAAATATAACCAGAATGTTCCTTAGAAGTAAGGATGGCAAGACTTAGGCTCACTTACTTTGGACATATCGTCAGGAAAGACCCATTGCTAGAAAATGACATTATGTTTGGTAAAGTACAGGAAGAGTTTCAGTGAAAAAAGGGAAAACCCTTAATAGATTGACACAACTGCTACAATAGTGAGTTCAGACATACCAGTGATCATGAAGATGGCACAGAATCTGACAACATTTTGTTCTGTTATACAGAAGGTCACCATGTGTTAGAATAGACTAATGACAACAGCACAGGTTGCTTGAGGTAATCTGGTCAGATACTAGATTAAGGTGCATGGCCGGAACTAGGAAGGCTAGTTTGCAATGTCCAAGTTAAACAAACTTCTAAGTTAGTCATGTATATTTGTGAAATCCTGTGTAATTAAAAGTTATCAGAATCTCTTTGTTGTATCCAAGCCTCTTTAAAATGAAAACATATTGTGACAATATATTGCAGGGGTAACTTCTCTTTTAGGTCATAAAATTTTAAAGATTGAAGATACCCTAGATAATTACTTAAGTCTCTTCACTGTATATTGAAACTGAGCTGCAAGTGAAGTGACTTATTTAAGGTCACATACTTAGAGGTAGCATAGTGGCTAAGGCACTTGACTGCTAACCAGAAGGCTGGCGGTTCAAACCCACCAGCCACTCCTCGGAAGGAAGGTTGGGCAATCCTACTTCCGTAGTGATACTGCCTCGAAAACCCAAGGAGGGGTCGCTATGAGTCAGGGCTGACTCGACGGCACATAACAACAACAACAACAACTTAGAGGTAGAGTTGATATCAAGACTAAGGTTTGCTGGGAGCTTGCCCAGTGCACTTTCTGACATAATACACCTCTCCTCACTTACCAACGATCTCATTATCTGACATTTCACATTTATGACATTAGTAAAAAAAAAAAAAAATCTGTTTTGCACATTAAACAGTGTACATCTGACAGTAATGAATGCTGAAGTGTGAGGTGAGAATAATGCTGGTTGTGATGGTTAAGGTTATATGTCACCTTGGCTGGGCCATGATTCTCAGTGGTTTGTCAATTATGTGATGATATAGTATAGCAATTATGTAATGATGTAATTTAGTGATGATGTAATGATATCATCTTGCATTTTGTGATCTGATATGATCATCCTCTGTTTTCACATAATGACCTGGTCTTTGGGACTTAACCATGTCAATAAATGAGGAGTGAGTGTATTATGCTGTATTTTCTTTTAGAAGTATATAGAAAAGGTATACTGCACTTACAAATTAATGCAATTGTGGCATAGATCAAAATGTAAGTACTAAGAGTAATTGTGCTTCTCTCAAGTATTTGGTTTATTTTTGTACAACAGGTCATGTTTCCTTAGAGATGGTTGCTAGAAAACTCAAGTTAAATTGTGGCCCAATTCTAGAAAGTGTAAAGGAGCTTACTGCTTATACTTTTTTTCAATAGTAAACCTATTTCTAACTATTATCTTTCTTTTTTTATTCTCATTTTATTTTTTTTCCAGTTTTCTCACTTAAAAAAATCTCGTTCAACAAATATTTATTATTGAATACATATTATATGGTAAGGAGCTCTGGTGGCATAGTGCCTAAGGCATTTGATTGCTAACCAGAAGGCTGGTGGTTCAAACCCACCAGTCACTCCTTGGAAAGAAGGTTGGGCAATATACTTCTGTAGTGATACCACTTCAGAAACCTAAGGAGGGGTTTCTGTGAGTCGGATCAGACTTGACAGCAGTGAGTTTGGTTTTCTTTTATTATATGGTAGGCGCTATTCTAGGTATTAGGAATACCTCATGGTTTAAAATTGGAAAAATTGGATCAAAATAGATCCAATTTCCCTGTCCTGGTGGTGCTTGCTTTGTAGTAAGGGTGGCCTACAATTATATTGCATATGTTTAACCCTCTTAAATATTTATTACAACAGATGGGCGTTTTACAAATTTATTAAATTTGATGGTTTTCAAGATGTTTGTGTCTTAGAAATTAAATGGTTTGAGATGAGTTCAGGAAGCATTTTGGTTTTAAATATTACAGGGTTTGATGAGGCTGAGAAACAGGATAGAGTAAGCAGTGTTTTCTCATTTCTAAGTGAGAGTCTAAGCTACTAGAGTTCATTGACTTCTTATAAATAAAACTAAGAGTGGTTGTTTTCTTTCTGGGTCAAACTATATATTACTGTCACCATCTCTTCAAACTTGGAAGCAGGCTTTTAATGTTAAAGCATATAAACAATTATTTTACAGCTCTGTGTTCCTATCACCCCTTCCTCTCATCATGCTTATTAAAAATGAGATACTAAAACAAATTTCCTTGAGGAGAAGAGTCATAATGCCTGCATCTTCTTCTCAAGTTATTCAGCAATTAATGGTAATAATTACATACAGACACTGTTTTAGTTATATAGTGTTGCTATATAACAGAAATACCACAAGTGAATGGATTTAGCAAACAGAAATTTATTCTCTCACAGTTTAGGAGGCTAGAAATCCTAATTCAGAGGGCTGATTCT